GACACAGCCTGGATCCTGAAGAATGTGGAGAACCACGCTGGCCGCATCCTCAGAGCTGACCCCGGGTCACGTGCTGGACAGCTGGGCACACAGGTGGCCTCAGGGGTGGGCTGTCTGTGACTCCGGGGTCTCTGCTCGTGAAAGCCACGTGTTCTCCTGAGGGGGACACGGTGTCTCTGCTTGACTCCGCAGCAGAATTTCGGCGACGGGCAGCTCCCAGGACAGACGGTATCATCCCACATCCTGCAGACTGGACGCCCGAGACTCCCGTGTCTCCAGGGGTGGTTTCTGGTGGGCCCTCCTCTCGGGTGCAGACGGCTGCCTTCTGGCTGTGTCCTCATGTGGCCTTGTGTGTGGAGAGCCCGGTGCTGGGGCTCCAAATCTCCTCTCTTCTCACAGGGACTCAGGCCTGCTGGGCCGTGACCTCAGCTGACCTACTGACCCCCTGAAGACCCAGCTCCACGTTCAGCTGTGCTGGAGGGTAGGGCGCGGGCATGTGGATTTGGGGGGACACAGTTCAGTCCATCACCAAGGGGGTAGGTGTGAGCAGGAGAAAGGCTGCCGTAGGTGCAGTGCTCCCCCACCGGGACCCTCCCCCACCAGGGCCCTCCCCGAATGGGCCGAGGACCCGCGCCTTCCTGCACTTGGGCTCCACCTGTGGGGCTGCCCAGCCAGGCACTCCCTCCCCAGCCCCCGGGGAGCTCCGTGTGCTAGAAGGGATGCAATGGATGGACCTGAGACTCCTCTTGGGTCTGACGGCCAGCCCTCCATCCTGCACAGTGGAGGATTCGTGGACCAGACCGCCTTCGGGGAGGCCTGGCCCAGCTGACCGTCCCACGAGGCCCTTCAAACGGTGGGTTCATCTCTCACTCCTGGCATCTTCACCCTCTTAAGTCGGAGGGGCTCTGATATTTGAGGACCAGCATCATCATTCTGGGGAGAAGATGACAAATCGGTAGCCCTTTGGTGGATATAAATACAGACCGTGTCCACAAATGAAGCAGGCCGGTCGCAGGGAGAGCCTGGACCTGCTCCAGAAGCTAATGAAATCTAAATAATTGGTCTCACCACTTAGAAATTATGTCGGAGGGCAAAGAAGACTATTTTTAAAAATACTCTCTCATGACTCTAAAATAAAACACAGTTTTTGTTCGGTCTTAAATATTCACACAAAATCACCTCTTTGGAGGTTAAAAAAAAAAAGACTAAATGGTCTCAGCCAACAAGTTTTCAGAACACTATGAGTCATGAATATAGGATTATAATGCGAGTCTGTGAGTAAACCCTACTGCAGGACAGAATTCTATTCCGTGTGGGGTGGGGCATGTGCTCAGAGGAGAAGGGTCCTGTGAACCCAGGGGGTGGGGGGCGCTGGGGTCTTTGTGGGCGCCGGGGTCAAGGGGGCACGGGGCACGCAGGGGGACGCGGGGATCTGCGTGTGAGGGTGCGGGGGTCGTGGGGGGCCTGCGGGGGGCGTGGGCTAGAGGCGTAGGGGGAGTGCAGGGGGCACGCAGGGGGTCGCGCGGGGGTTGCGCGGCTGCGGGGGAGAGTCGCAGGGGGTGCCCAGGGGGGGCGTGCAGCGGGTGGGGAGCTGGTGTTTATCTTGGCTGCGGTGCTTTCTGCTTCTGGCTTTGCCAGTCATGCTGCTGGAAGATGCAGCTGCACTTTCAGCTCCTTTAAAACCCTCCTCGATTCACCAGCATCAGCCTGATCTGTTCATGCATACACACCCGAAGTAAGGAGTCTTTTTTTTAAACCATGTCAGTTTGCAGCTGCTGACATATTGTCATGTAAATATTTTCTCGTGTGTCCACAGGCCCTCTGAGCTTTAATCAGACTCAGACTGTCTCTGGGCCTTGTGTCTTGCCCCCAGGGCTGAACAGTGATCCTGATCGCAAACCAACTCACATGCGACACGGGGACCTGGCATCCTGCGAGAGCAGGACGATCTATCTATCTGGATAGAAAGGATATCTATCTATCGATTAGCAGTGACCTCTCCACCAATGAGCTCCCCTGATAGCTCAGCTGGTAAAGAATCTGCCCGCAATGTGAGAGACCTGGCTTTGATCCCTGGGTTGGGAAGATCCCCTGGAGGAGGGAAAGGCTACCCACTCCAGTATTCTGGCCTGGAGAATTCCATGGGCTGTATAGTCAATGGGGTCGCAAAGAGTTGGACACGGCTGAGCGCCTTTCACTTTCTCCATCAATGAGGCTTCCCTGGTGGCTCAGTGGTAAAGAATCTGCCAGCCAATTCAGGAGACATGGGCTCAGTCCTGGAGTTGGGAAGATCCCCTGCAGAAGGAAATAGCAATCCTCTCCAGTATTCTTGCCTGGGAAATCCTATGGACAGAGGAGCCTAGCGTGATGCAGTCCATGGGGTCACAAAAGAATCGGACGCAGCTGAGTGATTAAAGAACCACACAGCAAAACGGCTCCATCAGTGACCCGTTGTCTCTGCTCCCGCCTCCCCCCATGTGTGGCCGGCTCCCAGGGCAGGGGGCAAGCACCCCCTCCCTCGAGACCAGAACCGGGAACGGGGTGGGGGGGCAACAGCCAAAGAGGGACGACAGGGCTTTTCTCGGAAGCCCCCCAGCGAGCGCAGCGGGCGGCGATGGGACCCGGGGCGCTTCGCCAGGTGCGCCTGGGTGGGGCGGGGGCCCAGCGGGTGACCCCCCTCCAAGGGCTTGAGTATGAGAGCCCGGCACAGTTGGAAGGTCCTGGGCCTTTGACGGGCGGGACTGTAAAAGGCTAATCATGAGCTGTGATCAGAGCTGGAGAGTGGGGAGGAGGCCACCGTGCCTCCCGCCCCGACCCCAGGCCTCGGCCCAGGCCCGGCCTCTGCACAGGGGAGCCGTGAGCTCGCGGGGAGGCGGCCCTTGGGGCCTCTGCATAGGGGAGCCGTGAGCTCGCGGGGAGGCGGCCCTTGGGGCCTCTGCACAGGGTAGCCGTGAGCTCGCGGGGAGGCGGCCCTTGGGGTCTCTGCACAGGGGAGCCGTGAGCTTGCGGCGGGGAAGCCCTTGGGGCTGCCCCGGGGCCCAGGCTCTGCGGGCTCCGGAGGCTCTCCTCACTTCAGAGCAGGAGGTGGAGACTGGTGTCACTTGCAGCATCCAAACTGGAGGGTATTTTGCATGCCTTCCGGCTGCTGCCGAAGCTGCCTGTCCTCCCCAAAGTCCGGCCCCTGCCCCTCCCTAGGTCTCTGTGTGATCCCCTGGGCCCATCTGGGCCCAGGGGGCTGCTGGCCTCTGCGTGCAGCTCTGGGCAGGTTGTCGGAGGCACATGGCGGGGCGCCAAGTCGGATGCCCGGGCCTGCCTCTCCTCGCTGCTCTCCGCTTCTCCTCACCGCACTGAGTCCGACCCAGACGCCCTCGCTCTCACCTGGACCCCTGCCCGGCCCCCAGATCGCTGCTGGCAGCCCACCAGACGGCTCGGCAGCAGCCGCCCAGAGAGCCAGCTTTGCAGTTACATGGCAAGGCCCTGGTGAAGAAGAAATACATCTTTATAATAAAAGTGCAAATGGTTTTTTGGCACACGAGTGCTTCATTAGATATTTATCAGGTATTTTAAAAGTTGGCCTAAAGCAGCATGGGATCTGCCAGGACGCTTCCTCACAGCCGGAGCAAAGAAAGAACTCGCAGGGTGAGTCTGAGATGCCTCTGCTCACAGTCCACACTGCCAGGTCCATGTCCGGGCTCATGGGTCCTCCCCACGGATGTCCGTTCTTCTCTGGACGATGCTGGAGTCTGGGCCCTGCAATCTGCTTGCCCTGTGGGCCCCTGGGCCTGCCTCCGGTATCGGAAAGTACGCCTGGCTGGAAGTGCGGAGGGCCGGGCTTTCTGCGTGTGAGGGAGCGGAACTGGCCAGGAGGACAGCGTGTCCAATGAGAAATCACCCAGCAAAAATAAAAATCACGTGCCCACGAACGTACTAAAATGAGTGAACCGTTTGGGGAGGTTTCTCCACGTGCTTTCCTCTTTCTCACACACACACACTCTGTCCTTAGAGGAGGGGATGCTGAGCCACTGCTAGGGATTCATTCGCCTTCTACTTTTGTTAAGTTCTATGAAAACGGCTGTTGCCAAAGACATTCGTCAAGTTTTCCTCGGGACCATGTTAGAATTTCCGGAAGCCGGGGGCACCGCGACCCGTGCGGAAATGGTTGACTCGGAGCGTTCCAGGGCCCCGGTGCACATGGGGGGTGGGCACTGCAGGTGGACGGCAGCCCGGGGGGCAGAAGCCCAGTGCCCGTGGCTCCATCCCCAAGCTCAGCCCTGCGGACACAGGAGCCCCGGTTGAAGGAGGAAACAGACAGAGCTGGGCTCCATCTTCGCCCAGGCCACGAACATTAGGCTACACGCCTGGTCACCCTCCCAGTGGACTCTCAGCTCCGTGCCCACTGTCCATAGAAGTGGCGTACCAGTGGGAAGCCAGACTCCCGGATAAAAGAGCCTCAGGACTTGTACTTGGGCTCTCCGTCGCCTAAAAGAATATGCTGATTATCTCTGTAACAGAACAAAGTGGTAAATTCCATTATGTTTATCGGGATATGACCACAGTCCTTTGATAAATGTCCACTGTTTATCTAGTCTTGTGACACATGAATCATGGGTTAACTTTGATTGTATCTCTCTTTTACCTTGTCCAGACTAGTTTCAAGGAATTTGGGGAGGTGGGTTTGAGCAAGTACACTTAGGGTACATAAGGTTTTCACTAAAACTGGTCGGGGTCCTTGGCTAGGAGGAGACTCTGCCTTGGGCCGCCGGTGTGATGAACTGCTCTCCACTATCTGCCTTGTCCTTCTGAGTGAGTTTGTTTCCCGGAACGCATGGCTACAGCACGGTGAACAGTGAGCACTCATGAATCCTGTCTTTCTCCTCCTTAATTCCTCTCCAACTTGTAAAGCAAACTTCCTTCAAGACATGTCAAAAGCTGTACACATCCCAGGTGGGCTGAAGAAGAGGCAAGACGGTGTAAAGTGAGCCAAAAATTCTTCCGTGCCGATGAAAGGCGAGATTACGCACCTGGCCCTGCTGGGCCAGCAGAGCTCTGTGCTGCTGGCCTCTGCTGAATGTGTTCGCTGTGCCGGGCGGGACACAAGCCTGTCCACGTCTGGCCCAGCAGGCCCAGTGTCCACTTCCCCGGATGCGCTCCGAGCCCGGGTGTCCGCTGCCCATGCCCACTCCAGCCAGATGGCTCATGTTTCAGGGAGAGTCAGCATCCCCTGGACTCTCGTGTCGTCTGCCGTCCGGAGGGGCCCCGGAGCCTGCGGGGAGGACAGGAGAATGTGGGATGGGAGAGGAGAGACGGTGGCCACGGGAAGCATCATGCTCAGGTCCTAGAAGGGGACATGCATCTCCCAGGGATCACCCCGCACTTGGGGGTGGCTCCTGGGTGAGGCTGCTGGCCCAGGTGGCTCAGGGCCCAGGTGAAAATGCCCCCCTCTGCGTCCAGGGGCCAGCTCCCGGGATTCCTGGACTGTCAGGCCCCGGGCGTGTGACTTCCAGCGTGTCTGTGCGACTGATGCAGCAAGGAGGCAGGAGTGGGTAAAGCTGCTCAGACTCCCCAGCACCTGGAAGCTGAGGTCTTAGGTCTCCACTGGTGACCCTCAGCCCCTCTCTGAATCCATCCTACAAACTCCTGGTGAGTGTCCGCAGCTCTCAGCCCTGGGTGCGCTCACTGCCGGGGACTCAAGCAGGCAGGAGCCCGGCATCCAGAGCTGGCCACCCTTGTGTCCACTGCTTGCTGGCTGGGGCCCTGCGGGTGGGCGAGGATTCTCAGGGGCCGGGCCCACCACAGTCCCCGACACTCTGAATTGGAGCCAATTCTGCCCGTGGTTCCCAGGGGCCTGGACGCCGGCCCGCTGTCCAGATGGACCAGACACAGGCTGAGATCCAGGCGCCGCTGACCCCTGGGCCCGGAGAAAGGAAGGCTACTGAGGAAGGACGTGATCTCCAAACACCTTCTCGCAGAGGTGGGACGGCGTCGCGGGTGCAGTGGAGCCCCGGAGGGAGCGGGCCTGTGGGCTGGGGGCCTCCGCGGCCGGTGGGCCCAGACAGCTGCCCCCTCGAGTCTCCAGGCCACGCGACAGCCCTGAGCAGAGCCACCACTGACGCTGACCCCACCTTCCAATACAGAGAGTAAACATCGCTCAGGCATGTCCGACTCTTTGCCAGAAACTCTCCAGGCCAGAATCCTGGAGTGGGCAGCCTCTCCCTTTTCCATGGATCTTCCCAACCCAGGGATTGAACCCAGGTCTTCCACATTGCAGGTGGATTCTTTACCAGCTGAGCCAGAAGGGAAGCCCCCTTTCTGATATAAAATTGTTTTACATTTTATTTCTGAACTTGCATAGTCCACATACAGCATAAGTATTACAGAGGCCCCGTGGACGTGACCTCTTTGTTCTTTAAGCCCGTGATTTCCGGGCTTTCCTGGTCACTGAATAGCTCCCACCCGCCCCGACTACCAGACTGCCCTCCCTCCAGGTCCTCAGAGGGGGACCCTGAGAGGCACGGAGCGGACGGAGCCGTCTCAGCACGGTGTCTGCGACCATGGGCCCTGCCAGAGACCACACACGCGTCTGGGGAGACGTGGAGTGACCCCAAGACAGAGGAGAGGAGGAGCCGGTGACCCTCCGCGGAGGACCAGCACTCGTAAAACACGGGGGTTTGGGGCCTCGCCCCACGTGAGTGTGGAGCCTGTGAAACAGTCGAGCTGAAGTCAGACAGAAACGAGGCCCCGTGGTGAGCAAGGAGATCAGCTCATCACCCCCTGACGGCCTCAGAGCGCCGGGCAGGGTCCACCCCTGGGGGCGTCAGTCTGGGCTTCAGGATGGAGAGGAGGAAGCCCCGGGGCGGGAGGCCCGGCCTGGGTGAAGGGGTGGATGGAGGAGCTGGTGGGCCGGTTGCTCAGGGCCCGGCAGATTCCCACAGCCGCTTGGGCGTTGGGGCTGTGTGACCCCAGCCGCTTGGACATGGGGTGTGTATGTGTCTCCAGCGGACTTTAAAGCGACAAAAGGCAGGGGGCAGGGGCCTGGGGAGCACCCGGAGGAGAGGCTGTGCTGAGGCGACTCTGACTTTAGAGCGTCTGGCGTCACCGTCAGGATAACGGAGGGCGTTGCTCAGTGTTCAGGGGAGAGACTCTCAGATGCGATCCTGTGCCCTGCAGAGCCGGGGCGGCAGCGGCCCGGGGGACAGACCGGCCGCTCACATAGCTGCCCCCACCACGGGCGGCTTTCCAGCGTGTCCACCCTCTGCCCCCGCCCATGGCATGACCACCCCAGCCCCGGACGCCTGGGGCCCGTCACTGTCTGTCATGCAACGCGGTCCCCGGGCGGTTCTGACCTGCCTCTCCCTGCTGGCTGAGGACACAGCACGTCTTTCCACGTGCTTCTCTGTACTGGCCCGCTGTGTCCTCTTGGGTGACATACCTGCTCCCGTCATGTTTCCTTGGGATTTGTAAGCCGTTGCTTCGCGAGGTCTCTGCATATTCTGGCTGCAGGCTCTGTCCTTCCTGGGATCTGTGGTTTGTAAATATCTTGGGGCTCAAGCTCACTTTTTTGCTGCTTGATTAATTGCCGCCAGTGCAACATCCTATTCATTATACATTTCCACAAACATCCACAGACTAAACAGCGCTTCAGGTGATAAGTGGAAATGACTGATCGAACGTCTGTGTGACTCACACACACACACACGTGACTGCTGAAGCTGTCGCTCATGAGCGTTTCGAAAGAAGGCTCATGCTGGCTGCTGAGCGGCTCTTGGACAGGCTTGGCTCCCAGGGTCTTGGAGTAAACAGGAGGCTTTCAGACAAGACACAGAGGTCGCTTTGGGGCCAGAAACACAAAGCCTGTGGGGAAATTTGAATGAAAGGGCAGGGGTAAATTATGCACATATGCATACTTGGCTCAGACAGTAAGCAATCTGCCTGCAATGCAGGAGACTCAGGTTCGATCCCTGGGTTGGGAAGATTCGCTGGAGGAGGGCATGGCATCCCACTCCAGTATTCTGTCCTGGAGAATCCAATGGACAGAGGATCCTGGCAGGCTACGGTCCATGGGGTCACAGAGAGCCGGACACGACTGAGTGACTAACACACAGATACACGCACAGCTGAAAGTGTGATGGAATGAACACGCACAGAACCAAGATCCAGGTAAAGACAGCCTCCCTGCTCCCAGAGGGCTGCCCTGGCCTGCCCCCCCGCCCCCAAGAGGGGACGATGTTCCAGCCCCCGGTCAGCACCGCCCCGGCCTCTCTCAGTGCCACCTTATACCACCAGCTGAGTTTCGTGGCCTCCTCTTTTACACAGCGCAGTGCGTGTTAGCGCTTAGACCGACTGTTCTCTGCGACTACAGCCAGCCCCACCTGTGAGCTATAAATGCAGGACTGAGGCAGAGTCCGTGCTGCCGTCAACGAGCAAGCTCAGATCCCAGTCCTCGTCGTTATCTGTCAAGGCTTTCTTTGCCAGTCGCCCTGATGGGGCCCGCAGGGGCCCTCCCTGGATGAAACCCTTTTATTCCCTGTCCTCCCTCTGGACCCCGTTAAGGAGCAGGAGCAATCAGGAGGAAAAAATGAAGCGTGCAGACTCTTCGTGGAATGGACATTCCACTCTGACTGCTATGGACCAGCTTTTCTCATCTGCTCTGTTGTGGGAGGCAGGGTGTCCCTCGGGGCAAGAGCCTCATGTGCTGCCAAAGCTCCATACAGTGGCCATTTCGCCGCGTTCATTTACGATGCTGCTGTTAAACTCTGACTCTCCTCCTAAAGAGCCGCTGTCACTGCGCGCCGGAGATACAACTCCACTGTTGACGTCACTCCCACCTTGAGAACATGCAGGGACTGGGGTGGTGAACTTTACAGGTCCACTTGCTGGGCCAGAGTGCCCAGTGCTTGGGCAAACATCTGTTTAGGTGTTGCTGTGAAGCCATGTTTAGATGAGATTAACATTTACATCCCACTGTGAATAAAGCAGGTGACCCTCCATATGGGCGGGCCGTGTCTAAGCAGCTGAAGACACTAAGAGGAAAGACTGCGGCTCCCCCAGGAGGGCGGGATTCCCCTCCAGACTCAGCCCAGGCTGCAGCAGCCGCTTGTCCTGGGCCTCTGACTGCCAGTCTTCCCTGCAGAGTTCAGACGTTCCAACACCCAGAGTCACGTCAGCCAACACCTTCAGATCAACCAGTTGCTCTGTCTCCTTGCGTGTGTGTATATATATATATATATTTATTTTCTGTTTCCCTGGAGGATCCTATCTAACACAGGCACACCCCGGAAATAGGGAAGCTTTGGTTCTTGAACATTGCATTAAAGTAACTATCACAATGAGGCAGGTCACAAACACTGTCTGGTTTCCCAGTTCATATAAAAGTTATGTTAAAAAATAAATAAATAAAAGTTATGTTCACACGGTAGTGTAGTCTATTAAGGGTGCAATAGAAATGGCAGCCCACTCCAGTGTTCTTGCCTGGAGAATCCCAGGGACGGGGGATCCTGGTGGGCTGCTGTCTATGGGGTCGCACAGAGTCAGACATGATGAAGCGACTTAGCAGCAGCAGCAGCATTTTGTCTAAAAGACAATACACACACTTCAACATAAAAATAGTTTGTTGCTAAAAATGCTAACTGTCATCTGGGCCTTCACTGAGTTGCTGTCTTTCCACCTCGATGCTGAGGCTGCTGGCTGATGAGAGTGGGGGATGCTGACGGTGGGGGTGTCTGCAGCAATTTTGTGCAATGAGACGAGAGTGAAGTCTGCTGCACTGCTGACTCTTCTTCACAGTTGATCACGTAGCGGCCATTGTAGAGCTGTTCATTGCCCTAATTCCAATACTGTTACATCTCAGGGAGCAAGGAGGCCTGAGGATGGGGGGAGGTGATGGGGTGGGGGGTCTGTGGAGCTGTCAGAACACACACGACATCATCAGCTAAGTTCACTCATATAATCGAGGTTCCTGGCATCCCAAACAAGTCCAGTAGGAACATCGAGCATCATTGACCATAGGTCACCATTGCAAACATGAAAATAGTGAAAATGTCTGAAATAGTGTGAGAGTTGCAGAATGTGACACTGTCAGCAAAGTCAGCAGATTTTGCTGGAAAAGTGGCACCTGTGGACTTGCTCGCTGCAGGGTTGCCCCAAACGTTCAATTTGTAAAAATGCAATGTTTGCAAAGTTTCATACAGTGAGCAAAATAAAAGGAGGTCTGCTCACAGAGTGACTCTTTACTGCTTGCATAAGAAACAGATTATTTTTTCCCCTGAAATACAAGACTCACCACTGGTCTAACTTTGCACATGAAACTTTATTAGCCACTAGCATCTCATGAGCTCTTCTA